GTAATAAGTTGGTTTTGAGAGGTTATTACTATACTAATTTTTTTAAACGGACGAGAATTAGATCTTATTTTTGGCTAGAGTCCTACAGCTCTAATAAAGCCTTTTTATTTCATTATGATTAGTTTTCGTTTTTTTAAAAAGTATTCTAAACTATATAAATAATGTAACTTATGCCTATGAAGTTAGAAGAGGGATGAGGTCACTCATTGAGTAAAAATGCATGGGGTAGAGGCCTGCATTTGATCCCGCAGCCCGGCCCGGCCCGCAAATTTTTGTGAACCGGGCCGGGCCTGAAGCAAAATTTTACTACTGCGGGCCAAAATTTAATAGTTAGGCCAGCTTGAAGAAAAAATTTATATATAAGCGGGTCGGGCTGAGCTGGCAAAAAAATTTTGAAACTAAGTGCGGGCCGGGCTGAGCCAGCAAAAAATTTTTAAAACTAAGTGCGGGCCGGGCCGGGCCACAAAAATAGGTAATTTGCAGGCTCCTAGCACGGGGTTTTTAATAAGAACCCTAAAATTCAGATCAGCCACATAAATTTTTGTCAAAATGTCATTGATAATAATACGCTTAATTATATAGAATTCAAGAGGATTATATATTAATATAGAATTCAAGAGGATTAATATATATATGAGTGTCGCCAAAAGAAAACATGCATATTTAAAAATAGATCACTCTATTTTTAGATATGCAGGTTTTCTTTTGGCGACACTCAATAGTATTAGTAATAGACGAATTTATTTTACAAGGTTTAAATAAACAGAACCACAAAAGAAGGCACGCGTTTTCACGCGTTAGATATTGGGAAAATCTATAGATTTTTCGTCACTGATTTACATATCCTCTCTGCAATAAAATTACTGGAATATTCATTCTTTGTTAAAGTATAAAAAAAAAAAAGGGTTACGGATTAACTTTCCGAAATTCAATTCACTGAAACACTATTTCACCGAAACTATTGTACAGACATTCCATTTACCATTTTCCCGAAATATCATTTAATTGATAACCAATTTTCCCGATGAATCATTGTCTAGAATTACCATTTCACTGAATACTAAAAAAATGACAGTCTATTTTACCGACATGTCATTTTTCGATTGATACATTTTTCTGACATCAATTTCTTCGAATAGGGATGTTAAGTAGTCTGACCAATGATCAGAATTTATATTAAATCACTAGTTAAACTAGCTAGTTCTGTTGAATAGATCACGTTTTTAACCAGGTGGTTAAACTACTTAATCCCCCGATTACTATATCAAGATTATTATTACTAATACCCCCATCTTCGAAAATAAATTGATGTCAGTAATACTTCCTGTCTAATGTCGAAAATTAGTTTGATCGAAAATAAACATTCGGTGAAATAGGCTATCAGGAATATGTCTTGCCGGGAAAAAGAAATTTCGGAATTATAGGTTCGAGGAGAAATAACGTATAGACGATGTAGTACCGCAACAATCATATATAAACCTGTCATCGGGCTTTCAATTATATATTATGCCCAGTTTGTTTCCAGAACACGTCTTGGGAAATTCCATCATCGAGTTTAATCAATTTATATCTGTACAAATATTAAAAAAACTACAAATATGAAGTAAAATAACCAAAATTTGATGATATTTCACTCACTTTGAGAGATAAATTCAGACGCACATACGCGATGCTATTTTTCTTTTTCTATGTTTTTTATAAATTATCAAGATAATAACGGCAATGAAAATAATTAAAATAACTAGACCCACTATATCCAAGATTAATCTAATGATATTGTCAGAAGTTATTTTAGCATTATTGCTAGAAGTTATTCCAGTATTATTACTAAAAGTTATTTCAGTATCGTAAATGCTGAGAGTTAAAGGACCTCCACAGATTTGAGAACTATTAAATATACAACTACTACTACAATAATCATCCCCCAACCTTCTTATAGGTTCATATTCATTCCCACAGAAACATTGGGAACCAATCTCTAATCCAGCAAACGTGTAACCCTTATTTTTACAAAAATTTATACAAGAATCAATTGTCATATGAATATTTTCGTTTAAAGTGCCATTTAATAATCGTCGACCACAATAAGGATTATCTTGAAAACATCCATTATATCGAACATCATTTTTTAAATTATTTATAATCTCATGTTTTTTATCGGAACTTATATTAGACATATTATAACTTGAAAGTCCAATTATAGTATTATAAACAGTATAGACTTCTTCACCACCACATTTAAAAGTTGAATTTCCAATACAATCAAGATTACAAGTTTCATTATCTAATTGTTGTTTTAAACCATTTTGAAATCCACATCTACATTCATTTCCATTTTTAAGTGCAGAAATTGTATAATTATAATCTTTACAATGAATTAAACATAAACCTGGATCCATTAAATTTCTATCATAATCATAAAAAGGATTTGTAAAATGTTTTTCATCTAAAATAAAACATCCCAAAGAATTATTTGTTGGTGTATTTCTTCGAGTAAAAGTTTTATTTAAATCGCATACTCCTAGATCTGATCCATTTAATTTATTAGAAAAGTTTTTTTCAAACATTTCAGAAAAAAGTAAAAAACTTTGGAGAAAGTAATCTCAATTGAAAAAAAACTAATAAAAGCAAAGATAATGGGAAAAATGGGTGAAATCATTAAATACAATTACATGTAAAAAAAAAGAAAGAAAAAAAAATCAATTATAAGTTTATCATACTTGATCTGAATGTTAAAAAGTTTGAACATAAAAAATCCAAAAATTTAACGAACCCTAAGACTTTTCTTAGGTCACTGGACTTGATCAAATGAAGTCTTGAGTCACTGGATTTGACCAACTGTTTGTAGAACAAGCAAAAGTATATAGAACTACGTAGCCTTATTTTATTCTTAATTCTTTCAATGTAATACGATATATAATATGAATGCTCAATATTTACACGGAAAAATTGTTTGACAAGGTGGATAAATTTGGTAAAATTTAATTATGATAATTTGTTTGAATAAAAATGGTACGTAGCATTAAAGTGTTATGTGGTTTTAGATGATTTTAAAAATGAGAGTTAGACATGTTGCGCATGTATAGGGATGTATAGTAGATTCAAATATATATATATATATATGTCGTGTTCGTATGTATTGCAATTCCGAATGAGAAGTTTATATTTAAAACCTATGTTATGTAATTCTGGCATAATTATATTTGGTTAGAATTAGAATTTAGGATTAAAGTTTCGAATAATAAATGTTTTAACTACAGTACATAGTTAAAATTATCCAGGACAATGGATACAACAGATAAATATAACTTGAATTATTTACATAAATATGTATTAGTGCAAATTAATTAAAAGACAATTCAGATGGGAATTGGCAATCTTGATACACAATTCTAACTTGGCAAAAAAATTTTTCCTCTTAGAGGTCAATAATAAAGCGAAAATCAGTCAAACTTAAATGCAACTCGTATAAACCAAGTTTTGGTCACATGAGTTTAGAAAACAATGTAAGTTCAAGGTTTACTAATTATAAATTCACTATTTTTATATAACTAGATGTGGTAATTGATATTTAAAATCTTGTTCTAACAGGAGGAAACGTTGATGTTACACGATTGATTTTACACACGGTGTGAAACACATAAAAAAAATATTTTACAATACTTGATCAGTCCGCTAGTAGATGTTATGATTATAATCCAACATCATTTTTATTATAATAAAAATG